CTGAAATCCAGAGGATCATTTGAAACTTTTTGAAAATTTATACTCCAATAAGCCAGAAAATCTAGAAGACATTAACACATTTCTAGACATATATGACCTAGCCAAACTGAACCAGGAAAATATAGAAAACCTCAACAGAACAATATCAAGTAATGACATCAAAACAGCAATTAAAAGCCTTGGAATAAAGAAAAGTCCAGGGACAGATGGATTCTCAGCTGAGTTCTACTAGAATTTTTTATCAGTCTTTCTCAAATTATTCTATGAAATTGAAAGGGAGAAAACACTGAAAATTCATTCTATGAAGCCAGTATAACCCTGATACCAAAACTAGGCAAAGACATATGAAGGAAAGAAAACTTCAGAACAATATCCCTAATGAACATAGATACAAAGATTGTTAATAAAATATTAGCAAACCAAATTCAAAAACATATCAAGAAGATAATACACCATGATCAGGTGAGTTTCATCCCAGGATGCAAGGTTGTTTAACATATGCAAATCAATAAATGTTATGTCACCACATAAATAGAATTAAGGACAACAATCATGATCAACCCAACAGATGCTCTCAGAAAGCGCCTTTAGTAAAATTCAGCACCCATTCATGTTTAAAATGCTGAAAAAACTAGAAACAAAAGGAACTTACCTCAATATTATTTATAAAGTCTAATATATGACAAACTGGAAGCCAACATCATACTGAATGAAGAAAAATTGAAAGCATTTCCTTTAAAACTCAGGAACAAGACAAGGATGTTCACTCTCACCACTCCTATTCAATATAGTTCTTGATATTGTAGCCAGAGCAATTAGGCAAAAGAAGGAAATTAAAGGGATACAAGTAGGAAAAGAAGTCAAAGTATCTCTGCTTGATTACATGATCCTATGTCTAAAAAATGGAAAGACCTCCCATGTTCTTGAATAGGCAGAATTAATATTGTCAAAACAGCCATATTACTAAAGCATTATGCAGATTAGATGCAATTACCATAAAAATACCAATGCCATTCTTTACAGAACTAGGAAAACACAGTCCTAAAACTCATTTGGAAGAATAAAAGATGCAGAATATCTAAAGCAATCCTGTACAAGAAGAGTGATGCAGAAAGCATTACAATAGCTCATGTAAAATTATATTACAGAGCTATAATAGCAAAATCAGCATGGTATTGACATCAAAATAGACATGAAGACCAATGGGATGAAATAAAATTCCCAGAGACAAACCCATATAGTTACAGTCACTGATACTTGACAAAGATCCCAAAAATATATGTTGGAGAAAAGACCACCTTTTTAACAAATAGTGCTGGAAAAACTGGATATTCATGTGTAGAAGACTGAAACTAGACCCCTATCTCTCACCCAGAACAAAAGTCAAATCAAAGTGAACCAAACCCTTAGGAATTAGACGAGAAACTTTGTAGTTGTTAGAAGAAAATATAGGCAACAGTCTAACATACTGGTGCAAGCACTGATTTCCTGAACAAAACCCCTAAAACTCAAGAAATAAAACTAAGAATCAATAAGTGAGATGGCATCAAATTTTATGGTATCATCAAATCACAATCACCTCAATAGATGCTGTTCAATATCTATAACAATCAGGGAATGCAAATCAAAACTACACTAAGATTTCATGTCATTCCAGTAAGAATGGCAATTATCAAGAATACAAATAATAATAAAGCAAAGGAATGATTGGAAAGGAAATGATTAAGAGTGTGATGAGAGAGCCTACATATCAGGAGAAAAATCTTTGCCAGCTACTCCACCAATGCAGTATTAATATGAAAAATATATAAAGAACACAAAAAGATTAACATAAAAATGCAATCAATAAATTGGCAAAAAATTAAATAGATACTTCTCAAAAAAAAGAAACACAAATAGCCAAAAAATATATGAAAAGTGTTCAATATTTATTACAATCAGAGAAATGCAAATCAAAACTACACTAAGATTTCATCTCACTCCAGTAAGAATGGCAATTATCAAGAATACAAACAATAATAAATGCTGGCAAAGATGTGGGAAAATGACATATTGATACATTGCTGATGGGACTGCAAATTAGTATAACCACTCTGGAAAGTAGTATGGAGACTCCTCAGAAAACTAGAAATGGAGCCACCATATAACCCAGTTATCCCACTCCTTGGTATTTATCCAAAAGAACTAAAATTAGCTGAAATACTATGGCAATACACTATGGCAATACAGCCACTTCAACATTTATAGCAGCACAATTCACAATGGCCAAATTATGGAATCATCCCAGATTCCCATCAATAGATTAATGGATTAAGAAAATGTGGTATATCTGCACAACAGACCTTTATTCAGCCATAAAGAAGAATGAAATTATGCTATTTGATAGTAAATGAATGGATCTGGAGATTATCATGCTAAGTCAAATAAGCCAGAATCACAAAAATCTAAGGTCAAATGTTTTCTCTCACTTGTGGAAACTAAAGGAAAGTAAGAGGGAAAAAAGGCGAGGGGTGGGGGAGAGTTTTCAGATATCATAGGTGTAGGGAAGATCAGTGAGTAGAAGATTAGAGGGAGGGAAGAAGGATGAGAAAGGGAAGAAAATGCAGAATTAATTTGACAAAATTATGCTACATGTATAAATGTGTGCGTGTTTTTTTTTGTGTGTGTGTGTATCTCATGGTGAATTCTAACTTATGTGTATCTATAAGGCACTGATTAAAAATAAATAAATAGATAAATGAGTGAAAGAGCAAAGGAAGTGTAGAGGTAGGGCAACGGGGAAGGGAGGAAGGAAGGAAGGAAAGGTGAGAGCACTGGGGATTGAAATAGAGCAAATTAAATTTCATGCATGTATTATTTTTTCAAGATGAATCCAACTATTATGCATGACTATAATTCACTAATACAAAAATTTAAAAAATAAAAAAATAAAAAGATGGCCTTTCTGATATTCTCAACTGTAATAAGCACAGTACAGATGGCAAGTTTCTGGATAAAATATGAATAAAATTATGTCAAATAACATGCTATCCATGAAGGTGCATGAGCCCATACATTGTGATGAGAAAATATTTAAATTTTTATTTCTATTGTTTTTCCTTATCTTTGTATAAGGTAGTATATAAATAGATAATTTATAAGTAATAACTATGCATAAATGTTAGTGTGTGCTCAATCTTTTTTCTTCTCTAAGAATGTGTAATAAAAAATGTTTGCCAAAAGACTGTCAAATGATATTTTTGTACCATGTAAATAAGAATAAATTGAATGCATTGTAGAACGTTGTATCAGACATAGTAAGAAGCAGCAGCCATAAAATATTAATTTCTAAGTGAAATACTACTGAATTCATTTGGTATGGCACCACAGTGTTGTTAGAAGGGAAATTCCTAATAACAGGACTTTCAAGTCAGAAAAGAAAGAGACTGCCTAGTTTGAATCTCATTTTAGACAGTGGATGAATAAGAGCCAAAGAGGACAAGTAATATTCTTTATATTGTATGGTGGCCTCATAGTAATACAGCCAGGTGTGCTACCCAAATGTCTTTCTAATATACAAGGAATGGAGACAGATAACAAATATCTATCTTTAGATATGTATAGAAAAAAATTATATAAATAGAGATATGAATATCTCTATATCTATCTATATATCTATATCTATCTATCTATGTATCTATTAGAGAGTGTCTTTGAAATTATGCAGGTCAACTCAGTATTCTATTATAATTTTGCCTATTTATCCATGTCTTTATTTTTTCCTTTTTCAGTCTTTCCCAAATCACTTCCATTTAAAAAAAAATAGTAACACATTTTTTAACATGTTAATTTTTTAAAGCTAACCTAAAGAAGAAAAGTTTAAACCTAGAGTCCTATTTTTTTTTTAACCAGTCTCCTCCAACAGAGACAATCTTTGAACTCTAAATACCTTTCTTTCTTACCAGTAATTCTCAGGGAACAACCCAGCACAAGAAATATATATTCAACTATACCCAAAGAAAATAAAAAGTGAAATGAGTTGGGAGTGCATGATAAAGAAATTGATTCATAAAGATACAATCAGAATTAAAAGGTCCTTCTTAAGGGATAAGAATGTAAACCTGCAAAAATAAATCTTATATTAACACCTCAAATCTATTCACCTGATTTTGCATGGAATTTTCTCCAGTGCTTTCAAAGAGAAACCACGAATACGACAAATTGAGAGCATGTCTTTAAGAAACAAGGTAAAGAGAAATTGAAAGTATTTATCCAGGTAATTCMAATCTACTTCCAATATCTTGATCACGTTTGCGTACTGCTGTCACAACATATACAGGTGGAGTTTGAGAGATGTGACTCTTTATCTGCAGACATTGGTTTCAACTATGGTTGTTACTTAATCAGTTGTGTCATTTATTGAGAAAACTGTCATACTGAATTGGGAAGTCACATAATGCAGAGAACTGCTTAGCAAAGTATCTAGCATATAGTTAATATATAAAACTTAACCCTTCAAGACACAAGTCTCTGAGCAGGAGACATGGCATACCCAGGGCTTCACAGTTTATGTTACACAGTAAACCCAGAGATTTACTCCAGACTTCTGATGCCGAAAGTTGAGACACCTAGTAAGAAGAGTACTGGTTGTAATTCCTGCAACTCAGTATACTGGGGCAGGAGGATTGCAAGTTCAAGGCCAGCTTCAGCAGCTTAGTTAGACCCTCTCTCAAAGTTAATAATTGAAAAAACAGGGGATGCAGTTCAGTGCTAAAGCACCCCTGGGTTCAATTCCCGGCATCAATAAAGAGGGGAAGGGGAAAGAATGGCGGCTAAGTCGAAATCTCTATAAACTAATAAGAGGTGGAGGTTGCACACACCAAGGTTGCAGCCATTGAAATCCACCCTACCAGTTCCGCCTCTTTCGCGCCCTAGCGACACAGCGACTCAGGCGAAAACTACATTTCCCAGCCGCCCTCAGGATTTTCCGGCGCACTGCGCTCTGCTTTCCGGCCGCATCTTTTACGTCAGTTCGAACCGAAGTTTTGTCACGACTGGGCCATTTCCCAGAACATGGGTTCTTCGTTGTTCCGGCCTATGCAGCCTAACAAGTTCGACGATCCTCCGGTGGCCGCTCCCCCCGCTCCCCCAGATGCGTCCGAAGCGCCGACCTCCCCAGAGCAAGCGCCCTTGTTTAATAACTGCTGGAGTTGCCGGGTGCTCTCCGGGTCGGGACTGATAGGGGCAGGCCTTTACGTGTACTTGGTGGCGCGGAAGCCTATGAAGCTCGGATATGCTCCGGGTCCAGGCCCTATTGCCCAGATGGTCATCGGCATCAGTGAGAGCCGGGGCAGTGCCGCTTGGGCTGGGGTGGTGGGGTGAGGTAAACCCAACAGCCACGTGGGCTGGAGGGGCGGGGCGCCCCAACGTAGGCCCTGGGCAGGGAGAAGTTGCGATGCCTTAGAGGAAAGAAAAGAAAAAGGAAAACAGTATTTTATGAGAACTCTTATTAATTTCAGTTTTTAAAATCCTTACAATACCGATTAGAGGTATTAACACTGTTCCCATCTTATTTTCGGGTAAAATGAAGCTAAGTGGATTGGACAGAAAGTGACAGAGCTGGCTTTCCATCTCAGGTTTATCTGGCCCCCAAAATTTCTCTTTTTCTTTCTCTTGGAGAATGTTAGAGTGAGGGCATTTGCCATTGGCTTAAGAAATTGGGCTTGGAAGCCAGATTTTAGTTGCAGGTTCAAGTTCAAAGCCCATCTACTTGATGCACTGCTGGGTTATGGGAATCCACAATATTGTTTGCCAAAATGTCTTACAGTCATGTGTTCCTTTATCTTTACAAACCAGTTTTCTAAGTGAATAGATTTTTTAGGTTTTCAGATTTGTTGTCAGTCAGGTTGTCTAAATCATTTACCTTTGTTAAAACTACTTGCTTTGGAAAATAATAGGGTATTTTCTTTCTTTCTGAACTTTTTTGTTCCTTTTCTGAGCTTCACGCTCCTATTCGAAATATATAATGTTAATATATCTTCTAGTAATGTTGTAACAGTTAAATAAGATGGCATATGGAACACTTGGTAAACTAAATTGTGACATATAAGTAATATGCTTTTTTTTTYCCCCCCTCCAGGCATTGCTTGTTGGGGTATAGTTATCCTGGCAGACCCTAAAGGAAAGGCCTACCGGGTTGTTTGAATGAACAATGAACTTGTCACCTCTTACCACTGGACCCATTACACAGGAAGCATGGGATTTGTGGTTGTTCTGGACAGACGTGTGGAGGAGCTTTGTCTTCACTATTGGGAATACTACAAGACTGAAAAACAATGAAAACATTGGTTGTCATACCTTGACTGTGAGTGTGGCTTTCTTGTCAGGTTTCAGAGGGATCAATAAATCCCTTAGAGAAGAAAATGATTCTGTGTCCTATCTGGGGAAGGAGGGTATAATTTAAATTTTACTTAAATATAATTGAATTTAGTTAAATTATGATTTGTTAATATTAAAATGAAGGAAATGATAAGCCAATAGGAAAATGAGCTATTTTATTTCCTAATTATAGTTCTTTTTATCCTGTAATTGGATTAACACCTGTTATCAGCCTAACCCTTGATAAACACATGAAACTAGATCTGAATACTCCTTATGCTTTCCGAGGTGTTTTTAAATTCATCATTTCATGAGAGCTTCATTGCTAATCTGACTTTTTTATTGATAAGCCTTAAAACAATAATCCAAGTGATTTGCTCAGGGTTATTCAGAAAATCAGTGCTGTATCTAGTACTTGTTTTTGTCTGGTTTTCCTGTTCTAGTCTTTCAGAACTAGAATGGTACAAGGAGTCAAGAATCACTTTGATGAAACAACCATAAATGTCAATATACAATGAAAGATTTGAATGCCATAATAAAATTTAAGAAAAATTCAAAACTTTTAGTAAAAAAACATCCTTTGATTTCTTTTCATAAGAACAAGAAATATTTGTAATGGAATTGAGAAGTTTTTGAGATAAAAACTCAAAATTAGTTCATTTCTAAGAAAACGTTTCACTTGCTCCCGTTGGGTTTTTTCTTTCTGTTTTGTTTTATTGGTTTCCCACCCCCTCTAGATACTGTGGCTTCTCCATAAAGTTATATGTAGCTTTTTTCAAAGCAGAAAGATATTCTCAAATTCAGCTGCTACTCATAGTGCATATGTTTTGAAAGACCTGTTAAGCAGGTAGTACTTTTAAGGCTTTTACTTAGCTTTGTATAGAAGTACCTAAGTCTGTGAAGTCTTGTGGTGACATCAAGACTCTTATAAAGTGTGTACATCCTGATCACTATATGAGTAGTACTATATATGTATTAAGCAATTGAGATGGAAGACATTTCAAACAACGTAAAGTAGACAGCAAGTTATTCTTTATGTAAAGTGTACAATTCTGTTATAAGATGATAATGAATATAGAAGTTTTAAGTTGGAAAGGATTTAGAAACCAACAAAGCACGTGATACACGGTCATTTATCCCCTAAAATACCTATGAATCAAATTGCCCCTACTTTAGAAGGCTAGTCATTCTATTGATGGACAACCATACTTAGATTAAGCCAAAAACACATAATTCCAATTCACTGATTTTGACTTGACCTATTGTAGAAATAGCATAAATCTTAAACTAATATATAGGTAGAACTTGGAGGTTTGCTGTTTGGGTCTAGACCACTACAGTAAAATGAGTCAGATTTTTGGTTTCCCAGTACATATAAAGTGTGTTTACACTACATTGTAGTAAGTACAGTGACAAATGCACAACAGCATGTCTGAAAAACTGTTATATTTAAAAGATTATTGCTAAAAGATGCTTATGATCACTTGAGTCTTCAGTAAGTTCTAATCTTTTTGCTTGTGTAGAGTCTTAATTTAGTGTTCATAGCTGCTGAGTTATTGTGGTAATCGCTAAATGCAATTTTCTTAAAATAAGACTTCTCTGTAGTGTGCAGTGTTGTTTAGTAGCATTTTACTTAGAGTAGAACTTCTTCAGGTTTGAGGTCAAACCCTGCTGCTGTTTTATCAATTGAGTTTATGTGATACTCTGAACCCCCTTATTGTCATTTCAACAATGTTCATTCATAGCATCTTTACCATAGATTCCATCACAAGGAACCATTTTATTTGATCAGCCATGAGAAGGAACTCCTTGTTAAAAGTTTTATTATGATATTCAATCACATCTACAGGTTCCATTGCTAATACTAGTTCTTGGTATTTTCAATACAGCCACAGTTACTTCCTCCACTGAAATCTTGAACCCCTCAAAATTGTTCATGAAGGTTGGAATAGACTTCTTCCAAATGCCAGTTCATTTTGATACTTTAGCCTTCTCTAAGTCACAGATATTCTTAATGGCATTGAGGAATGGTGAATCCTTTCCAGAAGATTTTCAACTTTCATTGCTCAAATCCATCAAAGGAATTGTTGCCTTCAACACATGTAACTTCATGATATGAAAGTCTTAAGTAAGATTTGAAAGTCAAAATTATTCCTTAACGTGTGGGCTGCAGACAGGATGTTGTATTAAGAGATATGAAAACAAATTTGTATATCTCTATTGGAGCTCTTGGATTACCAATTGTAATGTCAATGAGTGGTGATATTTTGAAAGGAATCTTCATGAGCTGTAGATCTTGACAGTGGGCTTTAAAAGATTAAGTAAACTATGTTGTAAGCATATGTGCTGGTATCCAGTAATATTCCATTTACAGAGCACAACAGATTTAGTATAATTTCTATGGCCCCTTGTATGTTCAGAATAGTAAACAAGTGTTAAGTTTCAACTTAAAGTTACCTGTATTAACCCTTCACAAGAAATTCAATCTGTACTTTGAAGCCAGGCATTGGCTTTTCCAAGCTATGAAAGTCCCTGATGGCATCTTTTTCTAATATAGGGTTACTTGGTCTGCATTGTAAATCTGTTGTTTAGTGTAGCCACTATCAATAATCTTAGCTAGATCTTCTGGATAACTTGCTGTAGCTTCTGCATTAGCAATTGTTTTTCAGTGTGAATTTTGATGTTATGAGATGCTGACTTTTCTTAAACCTGAGCCAGTCTGCTAGTTTCAGAGTTTTCTTCTGCAGCTTCCCATCAGCTTCCATAGAATTGAGAAATAGGGTCTTGGTTTAGATTAGGCTTTGTTTTATGGAACATAACTGGTTTAATCTGTCCAGAAAACTAAAACTTTTCTCCTTATAGCAACAAGGCTGTTGAATTTTTTTTACTTTTACATTCACCACGACAGCACTTTTAATGTCCTTTGAGAATTTTCCTTTGCATTCACAACTTGGCTAACAGTTTGGTGCAAGATGGCCTAGCTCTGTGCTTATTTGGTCTTTTGACATTCATTGCTCCCCAAACATAGTCATTTCTTTTTAATTTGGTATAAAGTGAGAGATATGTGGTTCTTCATTTTTCTTTAACACTTAAAGCCCATTTTAGGTTTATTAGCCTAACTTCAATATTGTTAATTAAAATTTTACAAAAGCAAAAGTGTTTTTCCAAGTATATTTGCCTACTCACCAAATATATTTAGTTCTTTGTGACTTGGAGCAATTTAATTGGGTATGAGCAAAGTATCATCCTATAACATCTATAGGCAGTTAAGTGGGAAGTAGTGTAAGAAAAGGTCAGAATTTGGACTTAAAATGTAGTTTTTTCATCTTTTGAAATATACACCAAAATTTTATTTCTGTCAGTGTTAAGCCAGAAGTTCTAGTTTATTTTAAATATGAGTCTCTTCTCAGAGGTTTCAGGGAAAAAATGTCATCACCCTATTTCTCAATGTAGGAAATTCACTTAGTTCCCCCATTATCTTCCCTTGTGTTGAGAATTAGATGGGGGTAAGCAGAATAAACAGGCTCAAGAATCAATGTATTATTACTCAGTAATATAAAAATACTGATTAACTATGATTTATAGGCTTTACAATCTCTATACAGCATGGAAATAAGAATCTATAAAGGTTCATAATTCTTGAATAAGGAGAGAAGAGAAAAATTAGTAATTAAAAATGCACATAAACATTTATTTGGAACCCAGAAACCAAAATGTAAACACTGAGGTTTTTATGAGTGTCCAAGATATCTATTAGCTCAATCTTTACATCATGGATATAAACTTTGGCAGCTTGAGATAATCAAGAACATCACCATTTTTTAGGTGTTCACTAATCTGGAGTCTGAACAGCTAGCAATGTGTGTGAATATATTAAAAGTCCCAAACTTAGATAGACTCTCAAGGATCTTGGTAGGTGGGTGTGTCCGATGAGGAATATCTTTTTTCGTAGGCCAATGGATGAGACATGTTGCTTGCAACCCTAGAGTATACCAAATGCAGGCCAATCTCAGACATTCTGGAATTCTACCTGGCTGAGACTAGTTGCAGAAACAACTGTTTCTGAAAGCCCTCGATGTTGAGCATATCAATCATGATTTGTACTTCACATCCACCCTCAGCTTAACATTTGTTCCTTTCTCCTTTTTATTACCAGTTCCTCTGCCTTACCATGTCTGAAGCAGGGGCATCCTGAAAAAAGCCAGTTGACAACAAAATATATTGCTTTTAAATATATATCAGGGCAAGCATATGTTCAAGTACCCCCTCAAACTAGACTTGGCCTCAACTGATATATCACTAGGGCTACATTGATTAAACTTGACACTTCTCAAATCTTGATGAAAGAAATAGTAAGCAATTTTGAGTTGAAAAACTGCCTTTTTGAAAAAAATGCAGATAAATAATAGTCTGATCCAATAATTATATAGGTGTTAGGGGCACAGAGTCAGAGGTGAAAGTAATTACTTATCATTCAGAGGTATTCTAAGAACATGGGGAAAAAATATATCACTTATAGAATGCATGTCTCTTGGCCTTTCAAATACTTAACAACAGTCAAATGTAGAGTATATAGAAATAATCAAAGGAGTAAGTATTAAAGGCAACAATGCCACTGAAAATCACTGTTCAGTCCTGTGACTGAACCTAACATATGCTTCAGGAATGTGGTAAACAGGATCTTAGGATCCCCCAAATTCCCATCCTGCTGGTATAAACACACCTTCTGACAGTTATTCAGTTGAACACTGTTTTCTGTGCTGCTATGAAGGGATTTTGCAAATGTAATTAAGGTTGTGGGCCTTAAAGTCTTTTGACCTTAAAATGAGATTATCCAAATGGGCTAATCATGAGCCTGTCAAATCTTGGTCAGAAGGTCAAAATCAGTTAAGTCAGAAATGAGAAGCATGATATCGAGTCAGTGCTCCAGAAGTTCTTTGCTAACCTAGAAGAAAGTAAACATACATGCTGAGAACTGCCTTTGGGAGCCACATAGCAAGACTGTAGTCAGACTGAAAATGAGGAGGGTAGTTGACAGACAGGAAATGTGGTAAACAGGATCTTAGGATCTTAGGACCTCAATTCTACTATAACTGAGGAATTGGATTTCTGCCAATCACCTGTGAATTTGGAAGAGGGCCCTATGAGAACCATGAACCACAGCCTTGGCCATCACCTTAGTTTCAGCCTGCTGAGACCCTAAGCAGAGTGTGTAGTCATGATGGGGTGATAATAAGTTTGTGCTGTTTTAAATTTTTGGTAGTTTGTTGCATAGCAATGGAAAACTAATACAAAGAATCAGTAGTGGTTTGTGATATCACAGTCATAGTAAGCAAACCAGACCAAACACCCAATACTCTATTCTGGTTTCAGGGAGTAGCAAGTAGTGAAGTTCTGTTTGAATAGCATTTGTCTTTGCTTTTACCAGTAGTTTTCATGGATAATTTTCATTTAAGGGTTTTTTTTTCTTTTTTAAATTGAAATACATAACATTGGGATTCATTTTTACATAATTATAAAGACATGAAATAAAATTTGCTCTAATTCAGTCCCTAGTATTTCTCTTTTCCCTTGCCCCTGTTCCTTATCTTTAATAATCTTTCTGCTATTTACTTTTATTTTTTAGGGGTTTTGTAGTTGTTGTTAGTGTCATGTGAATATACATGTTGTTGAGATTCACTGTAGTATAATTTACATGTGTACATACGAAAGTTTGGTTAGATCCATTACACTGTTCTTCCGTTATCCTTTGCTTTCTCCTTCCCCCTCAATACCCTTTCTTCTATGTTAATAGAATCTCCCTAACTTTTCCCTTTCTTTCCCCACCCCCCTTATTTTGGACGAGCTTCTGCATCTCCCACTTGTCCTTCAAGATTCAGCCCAAATATCACCTCTTCTGTGAATCCTTCACTGAAAAGTCTCTCTTTCATTACCTTCAGGGCCATGCAGCCATTAACACTGTCCTGACTTCTATCACTGATTTAAAATATTTCCTGGTAATTGCTTATGTATGCATTTGTCCCTCCTTACTGATTGTAAACTCCAGAAGAAGAGAACTGCTTTGGTCTTTCTTTATGCTGCCCTCCCCATTCCCAGCACCAAACATGCAAGGCACTTCGTTGGTGTTCAGTAAATATTTGATGAATGAATAAAGGATTGAAAAACTTTATGGGTGTCTCTCTTTCTCAAGGTTTTATCCCTACTAATATCATCGGCAACATCACCCACAAATCTCCCCCCCCCCTTGCCACATTTACTACTGACTGAGAAGTTCTGAGGATGGAGCCTACCTGTCTATATTTTAACAAGCCCTTCAGAGGTGACCTTAAGTTTAGGGGAACCTAAATGACTTTGTATAGTGAATCTCAACTATAAGACCATGGAAAGAACATTTGAGTAAAGACTTGCTACCCAGGTTTGAATCCCATTTCTACTTCTAGTCCCGAATATGCTTTTGGACAAGTTGCTTACCATTTTAGAATATAAATTTCACCCTCTGTCAAGTCAGATGATCAGACTAGGTAATTTCTAAATTCTTTTTGAGCATTAAGATTCTCTATCCCCGCAATCTTCATTTCTGTATTTTATTCTAAAAGAGCCAGCAATGATGAATTGAGAAAGTAAAAAAAACAAAAGTAGCACTGTCTCCAATAGTACTATGAAGCTGCTATGACCATTGCTCCAACAAGTCCACCCCCTAGCTTCTTGCAGCTGCAAGTTTCTGATGCTTCACAGGAATTTGGAAACCTCTCACCCCAATTAGTGCACCTGACCAACCAAACAATTCCATAGGGAAGGGAAGAGTTCTTTCCTGACCCTTTCATGATCAAATCAGGGGCCTGAAGCATGAAATGTGATTATTCTCTCCTAATGTGCATAACCACGCAGGCATTCAAAAATACTGGAAGTTGAAGGAAGAGTTGTGATTGCTGCTGGTGATGGTGGTGGTGTATATCTATCTCCAAAGTAGGAAAATCCTTCAGTTTCACCCTGCATAATACTGGCTTAGTCATGTGAATTAAACACTGTTATACAGGCTGTGTCTAGAATGACAATAAGCTTCAGCAAAGGAAAAGATACTACCAGTTGTGGGCAAAGCAGACCATTAGAAGTTTACCTTCTGCTCTATGCCTAGAGGTTTATCTTTTAAAAATGGTGTGCACTTCACATACGTGAAGTTCAGTGAACACAATGAAGTGACTGTATCTCTATAATGGCCAATTATAGAAGTAGCCATTAAGCTCTACAAGTCTAACCCAATGCTAGATTCTGATCATGGTATCACCAAAATGTTTTCAATAACATGGAGAAAGCTGGCCTCATTTACTTCAAGGAAACAACAGTTGTCAGGTACCTAGATACATTGTATTCATATTCAGTTCAATTATATTTATTAAGCCTTGTTATATGCTAGTGGTAAGATAATTAGAAGGTGGTTTGGCTGACAATAGCTTTAGCACCTTGAGTTTCTACATTAGCACACTGAAACCCAAATCAGTGTGAATGGTCACATCCCAGGAAAATGGAACTTAACTGCCGATTACCTCTAACTAGGGACTTTCCACTTTAATCAAATATTTTCTATCTTGCTCCCTTGAACACTTTCTAAAGTTTGCTCCTCTTGGCTCTTTGGTGGAACCCAAGTCACTTGTGGTTTGACACTGCCCAAACTATTGAAAATTTTGCTGTGACTAAAATTACTAGGCACTCTGCTAAGTGTGTTGGAGTGTTGTAGAGCCCCTGCTTCAAGAAGCTGAGAACCTAGTTGGAGAGATGGATACTAAAAACTGTAATTTTGATATAGATTAGAATTATACACAGAGTGCCTAGAAGCAAAGAGAAAGGACATTTTAGCCCTTAAACAGGGACAAAAGTCAAATCTGATGTTTAACCCAGAGCAAAGTCCACTCACCAGTGAGTAAACTTTTGACCTACATGCCTATCCATCAGGAGGATGAATGAAGCAGACATATGTCGAGAGAAGGGCTACCAACACTCTGGGCATGTCATCAAACAGAAATTCCTAAGACAGCATTCTCAGAGTCCCTTGACTTGGGTTGCTTTAAGAAGCATGCGGTGCAGCCACGCTTAGAACTGTGTGACAGAGAACTGCAAAATGCCTGTCAAACTCCTTGACAAGTGAAAGACAGGCAAATTGGGGGGAGGCTCACTCTCCCTTCTCGCCAGCCTGTGAACACCTGTTACTGATGAAGCAAGCTGAGAGACATATTTGGCACATGTTGGCAGCACCAGTAGATTCAGTCCCTCCTCATAATTTAGCAAAAGCGTGATCCCTTCTTTGTGGCTTCTGCTGTACAGCTATTAGAAATGAGACGGAGAGGTGAGTAAACTCTTTGAGTAGTTTATATTATGGCTGGATATGAGTATGCCCCAAATTTGGCAACATTCTCTTATTTGAAGAAAATTATACCAACTTCATTTGTAGGGAGATTTGGAATCAACAAGGTACTTTCTTTCATTCATTTATACGCTTGACAGTAACCCAAGAAAGTGGGAAGGGCATTTTGCATAGTTCTTATTCTACAGATGAAGAGAGGAAAGTAGTTTCAGATGGTTCTGAGACTGTGCAGTCACCCAGGAAACAGCAGATCTGATCACATGAGCTCTGACAGTTGGCACCATTGTGAGAAGCTCTTGCCCACACTTGCTCTCAAGGAATTAAAGAAGRTATGTACATTCTATGCTACATTTCTGGGTAGGAAGCAGTTTAGACTGTGCTTTACCTAAAGCAACAGAAATTCGATTTGTCTCCAGAAGGAAGCACACCATCTATTTTTAGAGGTTTGGAGCAACTAGAGCAATGCAGGCAAAAGATGTGTTTTTGGAAGTAGACAGTTCCAAGTTGTTTGTACTTAAACAGGTTACCTTAGTTTCTAAGTTTCAGTTTTATAATTTGTGAAATATGAATCGTTTTATTCTCCAGATTTTGTGGAAGACTAATACATATTTAGTGAATATGATGTGCTAGGCAATCCAGAAATGAGATCATCATCATTGTTTTTAAAGTATAAATAATGTGTCGCTTTTCTTGACAACTGACTGAGATCTTGAGGTCTGGACAAGTAGAGTGGCTGGTGTACTGGTGTATGTGAGACTGAGTGTTTCGGGTCACATCATGCAGGCAGATTCCAGGAAGGCATAAATTGTTTTTAAAAAGTTTACAACCTGCACATTGCTCAAGTTGTGTTTTTGTTTGAAATTTGGTTCAATTCATTTCAACTTTTTTACTTTAAAATGTTTTACTTAGTTAGAAAATGTGACTTTAAAGTAAACAGCAAATGAAAAATAAAAAGGGAAATGAAAATCTCTATCTAGAAAAAGTTTTCCTGTGAGGGAGCTCCAGAATTGGCACTATG